GGGTGTTCTCGCCCTCCCACAGGGTCCCCAAGGTCCGCAGGGTCCCAACGGCTTCCCGGGCACGAAAGGTCCCCCTGTAAGTGGTGATGTCTGTGCGTGGTCCTCTCTACGTTTGGGACGATGTAGGGCACAGAGTCGGGCTGGCACACCCTCCTCCTCCTGCTGCGCCCCGTGGGGTGCAGGCAGCGGAGCGGGGAGCCCAGCTACGCAGCCCGTATCCCCTACCCTGTTACCTCTGCTCCTTCCCAGGGTCCCGCCGGGAAGGACGGCTTGCCAGGACACCCGGGACAGCGTGGCGAGCCGGTGGGTCCCCTGCCTCCCTTGCCTGGGGTGGGGGACGCCTGGCAATACCCAGCATCAACCCCTCTCTCCTCTGCAGGGGTTTCATGGTAAAACCGGCCCCCCTGGCCCCACAGGGGTGGTGGGACCCCAGGTGAGTGCCGGGGATGGAGGCAGGAAGTGTTTGTATTGAAGTGAGCCCAGGGGGATGGAGGGACCCCCAGATGCTCACCCTGCTCTCTGCCCGAAGGGTAAATCAGGCGAGACCGGACCTGTGGGAGAAAGGGGGCACCCAGGCCCCCCCGGCCCCCCCGGGGAACAGGGCCTGCCTGGAGCTGCTGGCCGAGAAGGAGCCAAGGTAGGAGCCACGCTGGGGGTCCGACCGCTCACCCGGACCACCACAAGCCTGAGCCAAGCAGGGCTGGGTCCCCTCAGCTCTGCAAGGCACGAGGGCTCTCCCTGGCTTCGTGGGGACGGAGCAAAGCTCTCTGCTACTCCTCTCCACCTTGCAGGGTGACCCTGGCCCTGCTGGCATCCCTGGTAAGAGTGGCCCCCCAGGCATCCACGGCTTTCCCGGCACACGGGGGGCACCCGGAGAGACGGTCAGTGCTGTCCCAGGCTTGGACACAGCCTGTTAACGGTCCTCAGGAAAGGGGAAGTAGGGCCCTTTCTGACCATCTACCCTGCCATCCTACAGGGTCCTCCTGGCTTGAAGGGTGGGGAAGGTCCCCCTGGTCCCCCTGGACCCACGGTGAGTACAAAGCATTGTGACATTTGGGGGGTTATTGGGAGTTTCGGGGTTTTCCTTGGAACATATATACTCCTTGGGGAGCAATTTTGCCACCCTGCTTAAAATTCTAGTTGATAAAGAGAAAGGTTTCTTGGGAGAGGAGGAAGACTGCTGGGGCATTCTGCCCTCCACCCCACCTCTCTCTTCTCCCCAGGGCT